TTAATTAATCTTTAAAATGTTTCTTTTAAATATTTATAAACTAAATCACCCTGTAGCATTGAAGAATTGCTGCTACCAGTAGTACAACCACCATTCATTAAAGTATTGGATAATGACACTAAAGCCATACCAAACTGAAAAAAAAATTAATTAGAATATAAGGAAAATAAAAAAAAAGACGCGAATCAATTAAGAAAATTAATTAATTAAAATAATTAAAAGGTCAAAAAACTACGCCTAGTAAAATGGAACAATGGAAGGAGATATGAGAAGGACAATCCCCAATTTTCAATTTGAATTATAATAAATGTAAAGATAAAAAATTAAAATAAATTTTAAATAATAAAAAATAGAAAAATTGTAAAAAATAAAAAATAATCATGCAATAATATTATAAAAATAATGAAACGAAAAAAAAAACATTTTTTAGGAATGTGTGCCTTATTACTCTTATCAATATTAATTTGAATTATTTGATTAAAAAATATTTATGTTGCCAGTTATTTTTTTTAAATAATTAAATATAAAGAAATTAATTTAAACTAACAAAAAGTATTTTCTTTTTAATTTTTGTTTCAAAATTTAAAATTAAAAAATTAAATATTGATTTGAATTAGACTAATAAGTAAAGATTGATTATCTTTATACAAAGTCGCGCGTCCTCATTAAAATTTATGGCAATTAAATGATAAATATTTTTTATTAAGGTTTATATTTTTGTAAATATAATGAAAGAATGATTCACTTTTATTTATTAAATAATTTAATTAAAAATAAAAGAAAATTATTTAAAACAAAAATTAGAGCAAAAGGGTAAAAGTCATTCACATGAAAAAATAAAATATAATTTTATTTTTAAAAATACCCAGACTTCATTTTTATTAAATTCATCCCCTTCCCGCAATAAAAATGTCTGAAACATAAATGAAAGAGAATATATGTACATAATTAAAATTAATTAAAATAAAAAAAATTAAAATAAAATAACGCGGAAATAAAAATAAAAAAAGAAACAAAAAAGAGTTTTTTTTAATAAAGTTTAAAAATATGTAAATATAAAATAAAATGTTTATCGAAAATAATTTTTAAAAATAAATTTAAAAATAAATTTTTTGGGGAGGATTTACATAAACAATTAAATAAATAAATAATTTTTAATAAAACTTAAATGAATTATTTAAAATAATTTAAATATATATTTAAACAATCCACGTAGCTATTAAAATATTTTTATTTAATCAGAAGAGAAGATAAAAGATTAAGGGAAACCCAAAAAATTAAAAATTAAAAAATATAATTCAGATGTTTCTCTAATGCATGTGAAATTTTTTAAAATTTATCAAACGAATGGAGAATTAAAAATTAAATAGGTACAATTAAGCAATAATAACTGAATAGTATTATTTTAAAATAGATTAAAATCAAAACTCAATTTCTTTTACTTTATTTATATGTATAAAGCATTCCTCCAAAACTTTCCAAAAATAATTAAATAATTAATTTTATTGTCTATTGCTAATCTAAAAGAAATTTAGACAAAATAATGTGATATTAGAAGGGATTACTTAAACCGATCAAAACACTTTTTTAAATTAATTCATTGTTAGGACTTTTACTTATTAAAAATCCACAAAACTTTTAATGTGTTTTGTTAGAATAAAGGATGCTACTATACACGTGAATATTTAATAAAAAAGAATGAAAGAGATTTTTGGACATAAATAAATTGTTCGAGAATAAAAGAAAAATAAAGAGAAGTTAAGAATAGGTAAGTATAAATTGTTTTTAGATTTTGCTAAAGATTTATTAAAGTTCTGTATTATTCGAGAAGGAAAAGGGAATAATTCCTTAAAGTCTTCGTATCTTAATTCTTAATAATTATACTTATAAAATTTAGGGGAAAATTTTTATTTAATTTCTAAAAAATATTTATTTGAAAATTAATAGAAAATTAGAAAATTTTTTTATAAAATTACATATACTCTTTAAACTAACTAATAAACATATTAATATTTAAATTTTAATATTAAAATTGTTGGTAATATAAAATTTATTTAGAGGTTTTTTAAATATATTTAAAATATAAGTGTTGTCGTTAGCAACATATAAAAAATGGAAGAGTTTTTAACTTTTTACTAAAAAATACAATTAACTCGGAAATCCAAAAAAAACTTCTCGTCTCTTTCTCGCATACTTTTTAACGGCAAATGAATAAAAAATAAATGAAAAAAACCCCGTTGAGGAAAGTAAAAAAATATTTAAATTAAATTAAAGTATTTAGTATAATTTCCTCTTTTATGTTTATTAAAAATCTTCTCACAAAGAATTTTGATTAACCAAACAAAATAGGATAAAATTAAAATACTCCATCCCTTCCCTCATTTTAATAAAAAAAATCTTTTAAAATAAAAAACTATAAAATTAATTTGGCTTAAAATTTAATTTAGCCCCTCTTATTTAAAATATTTATTTATTTTAAATTGCGCCTAAACGAGTCCCTTGATAGTTGAAAACCACAAAAACCCTAGTACTAGAACACTAAATTTTTCCCCTTCCCCCTTAACCAATTTTCTCTCTTCTCTCTCCTCTTATTTCCTCCCAAACTTTAACGTTCCTCATTTTTTTATTAAAAAAAGTTCACACCTGCTCCCTTTCTCCTGTTCTTCACGGCTGGCACTTCTTCTTTATTCGAAGTGTAACTGAATTGCTTGCCGCTCTATTTTAAAGCGACAGATGCATAGAACACAATAGCCTCTCTCTCTTTTTCTCTTCTTAATGTTGCGATTTTGTTCACTATCTAATAATCTTTCTCATTTAATATTCAATTCTCTAATTTTAAAAGGAAAGTTCTTTCTGCCTCTTCTTTTTCTATTATCTTTTTATTATTTTCACTCTCTACTTCAAAGTAATAAAATACAACTATATTGCCAGCCGGTTAAGAGTTGAAGTAAATATTGAATTAAAAATTGTCAATATTTTTCGATGTTAAAGTGTTGTTGGCAACAGAAGGATTAGCGTGCAATATTAGAAAGTAGTTAAAGGGAAAAAAAATTGAATATTTAATATATTTATGTATGTATGTGGGTTCTAAAAATATGAAAAATTAAGAAAATTGTGAAAATATGGCAGTTGATATTATAGCAATATGTCAATAGGTAATAGTGTATAAGATATTTGAAAATTTTTGGAATTGATATAATGAAGGTAGATTCGATAGCCTTCCGAGTTTCTATGCTTTTGATATTCTGAGAATCTCCTAAAATTTATGATCCCCAGATTTTTGATGCGCTGTGTCTATACCATACAAATTGACCATTTTTAGGTAAATTTCTGAAACTCCAGAAATTTCCGCACGCACCGCTAAAGAAAATCTAAGCAAAAGAATTTGTTAACTGAACAGATCAGAACGTGGATTATCATTGGAGTCATCTGATCTGAACACTTATTGGCAACTCCGAATTTGTCTACATTTCAGAGTGTTTAAATCTAAAAAGAGATTAGGACCAAGACGAACTACTGTGAGAGTTCTTGATAAATAGGGGCCTCTAGAAAATTTCCAGAGTGGTGATAAAATCCAAACTAGAAAATATAAGATTCAGTTGTTTTAAATAAAGAAAATAAATAATCGTATGAACTAAAGAAAATTAAAACGAATAATTTTACACATAAGAATTATTTAGAACTAGGGTTGGAAGTTCCTGGAGAATCATTGGAAAAAATAATTAGAAATAAAAAATCAAAAACCTCCTAAATTTTAATTAAATGTAAAGATCCAAAATATGTATGCCTTTAATCATTTCGTCGAAAAATCTAACAGACGTAAAAGAACGAAAATTTTCAGACTTGCAACTAAGCTCGCACTTTAAAGAAACAAGGGACCAAGACCTGACCTAAAAAACACAAAATCAAATAAGTATAATTTTTTGGACACAACGAACAAATTATTGACATTTTTTCACGCCATCGGTGCGGTTAACTATCATTAGGCTTTTATGAGATATTGTAAACCTCCGAAGAACCCAAAAAAATTTTGAGTTCCATCGCCGTGCAAAATTTTTTCTATTTTCAAAAGGCCAAGAAGCCAAAAATACTCATTTTTTGCACGCAAGTGAAAAATTTGGGGTATTATAAGGAGAAAGGAGAGAGAGGATTCACCTTTTTGTGAACACTTGAATTTTTTCGACTTTTACTTCAATAAGGATATATGTATGTATATTATAATGAATTGATAATCACGATCAGGACTTGACCCCGAGCCTATTTTAATAGTAGTAATCGAGGGATGGAAATAAAATTTAGAATTAAATATGTTTGTAGTGGTTGTAAAACTTTCATTTCAGTTAATTATGTATCAAACTTTATTCAGAATTTTCCCATCGTTCTTTACAAATTTGCTAACAGCAGTCAGAAACGAAATTGTGAAACCGTTTAGCACCAGCAGGGAAATGATTCCAAAAAATTACTTTAATGCTAGAAAGTAGGGTTTAAAAACGGAATTTTTGAGTTTTTTTAACAAAAATTAGCCATTTTTATGAAATTTTAAAAACCGAAAACTTAAGAAAATGAGTGATTTTTTAAAAAAATTCCCACAAAATAAGACCGGTATTTATTTAAAACTCAAAACCAAAAACCGGGTTTTTAAAATTCGGATTAATCGAAAACTGGGGGTACCGGTTAAATAACTGGTAGCGAACAAGCCAAGTAGAAAGGTTTTAAAATCGAAAATTTTGATATTTCTTGTCAAAAATTAACACTTTTATGAAAGTTTTTCCACAAAATAAAAATTAAAAATTAAATTTTTGTTAGATTATTTACGTAATAAAGGAGTGTTTTGAAGGGAAATTTAAGCTCTTAGTAATTAGAATATTAAAAAAATATTTTTAAAAAACAAAATAAATGTAAACACATTAATCAACTATTTGCGAATAAAAATATTTTTTAATTTTTTCTGTTAAAAATCTCCTTTCAGAGATTGTCCGGATGAAGGACGACACCCATTTATGAAAGAAAGGAATGTTGTTTTGATAGAAATGTGGGGAGATGGAGACTGGCGAAGTAATGGCCGCCGACGGCCGCCTTCGACCGATGCTTTCCTCTGTTGCGAGCAAAGCAAAAAATTGTTTGTGCGCTTGAGGAATTGTTTGGAAGGGCAAATGATTGGGGGAATACAAAGTAAAAAAAAGGAGTTGGGGGGAAAATACATTTAGTTGTTTGTGACGAGAGAAGCACTTGCTGTTTGTTTGTGAAGAGAAAAAGGGAGAGAAAGGCCTAGAAAAAAGCCTTGGGGTAGATTTAGTTAAGGTTTTTAGAGTCTGAAATTTGTGGCAAAAAATTACAATAGAAGAATAAACAATTTAAATTTTAAATACTAAATTTGTAACAAAATTTTAATGGAGAGGTGTACTTAATTAGAGAAAATATTTTTGAAAAACAGTTAAAATCACAAATTGTTTTTTTTTGTTTTCGAGATTTGTGCCCAAAAATGAGGAAAACATAATTTTAAAAAATGAAGAAATAATAAAATTAGATAGAAAAGAATTCCACAAATACATAAATCACGGAAATCCCCGTTGAAAAATTATCAAATAAAAATTATAATTAATTTATGAAACGAGGAAAACTCTTCATTTCTGAATTTTTACATTCTGAAATTTTTTGTGATAATTTATTAAATATAGGTCAAAAGTAATGATCCCTGGGTGTGAAAATTTTTAAAAAGCGATTATTTTGACATGGAAAGGGTAAATGTTTCACTTCCCTTTTTCATAATCAAAATTCACAATGTTGAGATACTTTCCATGGATTCAAGGAATAAATTTTATGAGAAAGTTAAATACACAATTAATATTTAGGAGAAGTTAAATAGTAAATTCTTTAATAAACAAAAAGTCATTTATTTAAGTTAGCCACGCTATTATTGTTTAAACAAATTTAAAAATTAAATTTAAATTGTCTAGAAATTAGAGGATATAAAATAATACAAAATTATGTTTAAACAAAATTTATTGTTTGAAAACCTCAAATGATCCCAAAAAAATATTTAAACAATAAAAAATCAAAAACAATTTACTAGACACCCAAATAACCCCTTTTATTTCTTCCTTTTTCTTTCGCCCGCTTGTTCGGTTCAAAGTGTGTTTGTTAAATGTTGATGAAGAGAATAAAATAGTAGTAAATACATACGCGACAGTCTTTACTAGAGCAAAATTAAAAGTTGTTTTAATAAAAGTCTCTCAATGTGTGGAGAACGCGCCAGCCGTGTCTGGCTGGCAGAGAAGGAGAAAAAAGATGGGAAAAAGAGTATGATTGAAAAGAAGAAAAAGGAAAATAAAAAGAGGAGGAAGTGGAAATTGTTGTTGTTGTTTTGTGTGTATATATTTGAGGGTAAAAAGCCAGCTGGTTGATAGAAAAAAATAAAAAGGGGGGGGAAGGTCGTCTACGCACATTAATAAGAAGTGTAGTTAAAGGGGGGAAACATTCATAGTAGTAACATTAAAAATAACAAAAACAACAACAAAAAAATAACAAAGTACTTGATAGAAAATAAATAAATTGTTACAATTTTAGTAGACAATTTTATCAGTTTAAAAAAATAAAAAATAAAATAAAGATACATTTTTAATAGACAATTATAAACAGTCGCGGTATTTAGTTGGAAATAGATGTAAGTAGTTATTAACAGAGATGGGTCGGAACAGCCAGAGGTGTCGGAAATCGGAAGAGCCTGAAATCGGAACTGGCTCAAAAGTCGGAATCGGAAATCGGAATTCCGAATTCCGACCCACCTCTGGTTATCAATTAAATATTTAAGAAGCAGAAAAACACAGTTCTTGGATAATTAAAAATTAGAAAATTGTAGAAAGAAGTCTAAAGACGTGAAAAGTGAGCCAATTAATGGGGGGTAGCATGTTTTACACGTTTTTAGACATTGTGGTTAATGATAGAAAAAATAAAAATAAAGATAAAATAATATTTTTTGGCAATATTTTTATTTGCCATAATAATCCTTCAAGTACATTAATATACGAGATAATTTAGAGAAAAAATATTATTTAAAATGTTTAAATCTTTACTATTATTTAAAGTAAAAAATAACTTTACTTTATTACATAAACTTTATAGTCCACTTTATTAATCCAGATTAAAAATTTTTTATAAAAAATTAAAACAAAAATGTTGCCAAAAAAGGTTAAAAAAGTTATTAAAACTAAAATAAAAAAATTAAAAATATTTTTTTTATTTTTATTCCAAAACCCCCCTTAATTTATGTGGCAATTTATTAAAAAATTTCCTAAAGGGAAGATTATATTATAAGAAAATTGTAAACAATTTTATAAAAGTTTATTGAGGAAAAATATTAAAAGAAAAGCTAAAAGGCTGTCTTTAAAAGCATTATTTTCTGTTTAAGAGAAAAAGGAGGTTTTTGAATTGTTTGTGTGGAACGAATGCGGGGGAAAAAGAAAAATAAATATTTAAAAAAATAAAGAGAAGGTAGGAGAGAGAGGTTGTCATCAACAAAATCAATGTTTTTAAAAAGAAAAACAAAAAAAACTAAATATTTATTTATTTTATTACATTTTTCTTTCCTCACACTTTTACAATTTTTGCTAAAAAATTTAGCGATAAAAACGTTTACTTAATAGTTTTGCAAAAAAATAAGAACATGCACACACACAAATAATTATCTGGCATGAAATTTTCGAAGAAAAAAGGGTAAAATAAAATGGAGTGATTTAGAAAATAAAAAAGAAATTTTTTGTATTTCTTAAAGTAAAATTTTAAGAGGAAGACTTAAGAATTTGTAGTTTTAATAAAATAAAGCTTTTTAGTTAGAAAATTCTAAGTATTTTTCGGTTATACCGCCTCCCTTTAAATCAAGGAGAGGGGGGAGGGGGTAATTCTGTACTCCTTCAATGAGGGTTTCCTAAAAAGATTTTCCTTACTAGAAAGTTATAAACAAATTGAACAATCGAATAACCTCTAACCGGCTGAACTAAAAAGTGCCGAATGAAAATGAAAAAATTCTAAAAAAGATTAAAATTGAACAAAAAGTTCAAGCAGAAATATTTAAATTTTTGGATTGAACGAGTTCTTTTGTTTTTCTACTTTTGATATAGGATTAGGGTAGAACACTTTTTATTTTAAGAAAATATATAGATAATTAGTAATTCTGATTAAAAAATTATAATTAGATTTTGAATAAAGAAATGAATAAATTTTTCTTGAGAAAAATTTATATTTAAAAACAAAATTTCCGAGAAACTAAAATATTATTTGTACTTAAATTAAAAAATTTATGTAAAAGTACATACACTGCTCCACATAATTATAAGTCCACCCCTTTTTTCGAAATTTTTTCACTTCTACTGATCCAAATTTTCTGAAAATTTAGATACACACCTTTTAGTGAATAAATAATAAGATGAGTATCAATTTTTGGCTGATTTTTTATTTTAAAAATTTTTAGACCAAAATTTGAATTTTCGGCCTCCACAAAATTATAAGTCCACTTTATAAAAAAGATATTTCCAAGATTAGGAAAAATTTAAAAAAATTCTAGCAAAAATACATAATGATATTATGAAAAAATAAAAAAGAAGTAGACCCATATCTTTACCCGAAGCCGAGATCCTGAGACCCCGAAAATCAACGTAAACAGGTGGTAAGGCTCTTTAAAAAATTTTTTCGACCCCTTATGGATTGTTTTGAATTTTGATATTGGGCTCATTCGAAAGCCCTTGAAATTTGCTACAAGATAGCATTAATCAAGTTTTATAGAAAAATCCATTAGAAAGATACAGGCCTTTAATTTTCTGATGCAGCAAAATACCCCATAAAATGTCCTTTATGTCGATTCGAAAGTTTAACTTTCTGTGAATCTCAGTAAAATTTTTTCTGAAAAATAAAATTATAATTATCTTGTAGCAAATTTCAAGGGCTTTCGAATGAGCCCAAAATCAAAATTGAAAATAATCGATAAGGGGTCGGAAAATTTTTTTAAAAAACCTTACCCCAGTTTTACGTTGATTTTTGAGGTCTCAGGATCTCGGCTCCGGGTAAAGATATGGGTCTAGTTCTTTTTTATTTTTTCATAATATCATTATGTATTGTTGCTAGAATTTTTGTAGATTTTTCCTAAACTTGGAAATATCTTTTTTGAAAAGTGGACTTATAATTTTGTGGAGGCCGAAAACACAAATTTTGGTCTAAAAATTTTTTAAATAAAAATTCAGCCAAAAATCGAATCACACCTTGTTAGTTATTCACTAAAAGGTCTGTTTCTAAATTTCCAAAAAATTTGGATCACTGGGAGTCAAAAAATCCCGAAAAAAGGGGTGGACTTATAATTATGTGGAGCAGTGTATATGCTGCGCGAAAGTAAACTGTGTGGCCTTTCTTCCCTCACTTACCCTAACATGTTAAAACAGCCCCCAATTATTTATTGTTTTGTTTCTACATATAGAAACAAACAAAACAAATTTAAAAAATAAAAAGTTAATAAAAAATAATTTTGTAAATTTATTTTTAAAATTATTAAAAAATGACCTAGATAGTTAACAAACATTTGAATATTCTATAAGGAATAGAAAATTTTAAATGATTCTTTTTTCAAAACAAAATAAAAATTGACTCATAAATACACAAATATTTTTCCTGTTATTTAAATAATAAATACAAATTATTAATAAAAATAATGAAAAAATATTTTTATTTAAAAATAAAAACAAAAAGATTATAAAAAATATTTTACAAAACAACAAAAAAATATTTTTCCTTTTTTCCGTTTACCGCTACATATTTTTAAAAAAATATTTTAAAGGGAAAGAGAAATTAGCTAAATAATGGCATGAAAGCATCCGTTTGGCATTGACAGTCATTCTCTTTTTTTATTTCATTTAAGTGTTTTTGATATGGGTTGCCCTGGCAGTCATTAAAAATATTAAGTATTATTATGTATTATACTTTGCATTCTCAAAAATTGTTTTTTTTGTTTTTATATATTAAAAATAATTCTTAGAATAAATATTTGGTATCTGGTATTTAAAAAAATATTTTTAAGTTTTATCATTTAATCAAATTTGTAAGTGGAAAATATGGAAAAGGGTTTGGAGTTAAAATTAATAAACGTTTAAATGATAGATCAAGAATAACGGTATCGATAAACGGTATTTTTAACCGATATATAGTATCGGTCTGGTTTCTAGTTACAATATTTGGAGCACTGAATATTTCAATTAAATAAATTATTACCAAATTCAAATTCTCTTTCGTTTAAAATACATTTAAAAACTGATGAGAATTTAAAGCAATAAAAAATATATGAACTCTTAAGAGATTAGAAAATTAC